CACATTTATAATTTCACATATATATATATATATATATATATATAAGAATGTTAAGATAAAAATCTCTAGTATATTTTTATACTCGTATATATAGATAACAAATCGAAATATATTATATGAAAAATAGAATTAGAATGACTTTCTGTTCTATAATGGTAAGGTGGAATAAAAATTTGGAAAAGTGATAATATTGACAGAATAAGACTATTATAATATATTATTATTATTATTGTTATTATAAAAGAATAAAAAATTGTAAATAATTTTCTTTCCTTATATTATGAAAATAAGAATTTCAACTCAGCAATAATAAATAATAATTTATACTTGAAAAATATATAGAAAGAAATCAAAATAAAAAAATATGCGACAATAAAACTTTCACTCAATTTAAAATCGAATGCATTATATAAAAATTATTTTTAAATAGAAAATGAAACTTTGTTACCAAAGAGAGTATATTCATATAATATAAATATTAAAATATACTGATATCCTTTTCAACAAAAAAATTCTCATTCCATAATTTTATTAGGAAAAAAAATATAAATTTTTTATGTGATTAACATGCATGATAAAAATAACAAAAAAAAAAAATAACGTACCTTTAAGGCTTCAGATCATGCACATTTTAACTCATTTAGTTGAAGAAAATGAGTGGAAAATGGTTGAATTATTATACAAAAGTAAAAAAAGGAAAAAAAATAAAAAAATATACGAACAAAATGAAATAAAGGGGAAATTGAAGTTCAAATTGTAATTTTTTCCACTTGCTTACGTGTTTACTATTTATTATCCTTTTCAAGGATTTTTTTTTTATTATTATTTTTTTTTTGCATTTTCTTTTTATTATGTTATTTTTACATTTTGTTTCTATTTCCTTTTTATATATTTATTATGTTCATATTATAAAATAAAAAAAAAAAAAATGTGAAGGTTCAATCTTAAACGCGAATATTAAATTCATTGATGTGTACAAAGGGATGAATATTTTGTGATTATATGGAAAGGGAGGTAAACAGAATGGCAATCACTCAACTGCAAAACTAAAGTATATGTGTTATACAAAAAGAAGCACAATAAAAATATAAAACAAAAAAGAAAAAAATGAATGAATGTTACTTTTTTTATATTTCATTTCTTTTATACACGTTTTTTCTTTTTCATCACCTATATAACATAGATTTAATAGATTTTTCATAGATTTTTTTTTTTCGTCCTTTTATACAACTTATGAATATGAATAAGTTTGATATAAAATACTGTTATATTTTTTTTGTTATTTATATACATACATAATATATAGGTAAAGATGTAGATGTTAATATAGTGTATATGAAAATGATATTGGAGAAAAAGTTTTTAAAATTGTTTACTATAAAAATACAGCTTTTGTTTATGTGTGTGTGTGTGTGTATTGAATATGTTTTCCTATGTAATTTTATAACATTGTATAAAAGACTTTGGATATATGTAGGTATATTGGAAAAAAATAAAATATAGTTTGGTTTATTTTTATTGAAAGTTAAAATTTTTTTTGTGGACTTAAGACAAACTTTTTGTTTTTTTTTTTCTAAAGAAATTGTGTATATACAATTATGGATGAACACATTTGAGTACAAGAGGTAACAAAAATTCTGTAAAACCAATTTTTGTTTTGAATTCTTTTTTTTTTTAGTTGATTAATTTTTTAATTCAAAGAATTCATAACTTTTTTAAAAGTCATAGTGTAAAAAATTGTTAGAATAATGTCAGTTTATCTATGCCTTTAAACAATTAAATCATTATTGTAAATGGGAAATTTGTATTAAGATAGGAAATTTAAATTGAGATTTATGTTTTCAAAATTTATTCTATTATACTTGAAAAATTGATTAAGTAACTATATTGAATTATGTAATTTAATTTTTGACTGGATTATGGATTGTACATTGCAATGATCTATTGTGTCCCCCAAGTACGTAAGGGACCCTACAACACCCCATCGAGACCCGCCCTCCCGATGAATTCGAGTAACTCTGAAGGCCTGATAGACTGCTCTACCGGAGTAAGCATGTAGTTTTCGAGTATTTCTCTTCCCTTGCGAATGAAGACCCTGCATTCTCTCAGAAGGTGTTCTGGCCTAAGAATCTGTAAACATAACTGTACTGGTTATAAGATTTTATTACCTGCGCGGTTGAATACTGGTCGGATAATGTTCAGCAAAACAATACATTTAAATATTTATATTTGTGTACTGAAGAATGAAACGTAGGAAACAAATCGCAGATCATTTTTTTAGTATAGGCTCTTTGTCAAATGGAAGATTTAATTATAATTTTGTTTATATATTAACATGATTAGTATTTTTTTTGTGTTAAAATTTTTGAGTAGCTAACATTTATGGAAAGGTTCGTAAATTAATCCTTTTTTTTGAGGTTTTTTTTTTGTAAAATTACATTTAAAATATTATTCTTTACTAAAAGCATGACTGACTATTAATTATTACAAAACACGACCAAACATCTTCAATTATTAGTGAGTAACATTCTTATACTCATTCAGTTTTACTACAATTTTAACTCGGTTTGCACTTCATCACAAATTGAGTTGCGATCATTAGCTAGTCTTAAGTGCTTCTTCATATAAATCAATAGTTTCTGCTCCAATATCAAGTTGTAATGTAACATTAAAATTTTCTTCAAGGAAAAATTATAAAAAAACTTTAGTTTTGGTCATTTTGATTCTAAAAGAAATCAAAACTAAAAAAGAATATTTTTAATAAGCATCCGTAACTGTATATGACGTTTCTGAACATATTATAAGTTATGTATTTATATGTACAATCCCATATGTATACATGTATTCCATTTATATTTTCCTGCTGACTGAATGGAATACTGATTTTGAATGTTTTTTGTTTTGTTTATTTCTTATTTTTGTATATATAAGGATGAAATCCTTTTTTGTACCAATTTTAGCTTCATAAATATAATTCAATTTATAAATAAGTCATCAAGGTGTGAATATAGATTACCGATTTCGTGATAAATTACTTTTATTGAATGGGGATATGAATAGGAAATGTTCCCTTCTGGTCTCGTTTGTTTTTTTGTTTTTTATTTTTCACCCTATTTAAACTTTAATATTCGAATCATACAAATATATATTTTTGAGCCTTCTTATTAAGGTGTATATATATAATTTAACTTTTTGATTTTTTTCTATGAAATTTGATTTCTATCTTTAGCCCCCCAATTTATTTATTGCTTATACAATTCCTATCACCATTTAAATTCAATGTATATATATGACTTTACTTTAATGTTTATATATTTTTCATTTATTTTGGACTGGCTAGTAATTTTTGAACGTGTATATGGGTGTTGTTTATTTTTTTGCTTATTCAATTCAATTATTTTTACCGCCTGACTGGTTATTATTTTGTGGTTCATTGACAAAAATTTTTAATAGACGACAATAAAGAAAAGAAAAAAAAAGAGAAATAAAAACTTTTTCAATACAGGAAAACAGGAAATGGTAGACGCTTGTCCTATCAATGAAATTATCGGAAAATGGGTTTAATCCGTTTTCTGTTTTTTCTTTTTCTGCTTTTTACTTTGTATTAATGGGAAACCATAACAAGTTTGTTATTTTGTTGATCTTTAATTATTTTTGTTTTTGACACACGTTTTTTGGTTCATTCGTGGTTGACATTTTAACTCAAACCAACAACCATTGTAAATTGGTATAATAACGTGAAGGATATAGGTTTATATCTTTGGATTTATTTTAAAAAAATATAAGGAAGAAATATAAACTAAAAATATGAATTAATATTATATGTTTATTTTTGGCAATTTCAATCAAAAATTTCCACTTTAAGAGAAAACGGATTTATTTTCGATTAAGGAAATGCACACGACTATGAAATTGCTTCCAGATTATGAAATTGCTTTCTATGAATTTTTTAGACTGTATAGTTTATTGATTGTGTTTTGAATTAAACTAGTATTCTTTCTAAAATCATTTTATTTTATCATTTTATCAATGGAAAAAGAAGAATGCATGTTAGAACATGTCATTTGCCATTAAAATAGGTGGTGAAACGGCCTCAATTAGAAAATTTATGCTTATATATAAAAGGGAATTTACAATTTGGAGAAGCCAAACCTCACCCATTAACTGCTTAAATGGCCATCACGAAATTTTGGAAAGTTGTTTAGAACAGTCCAGCGTTAGTTTTAGCATAAACAAAAATTTGGGAAACCTGTGGTCATATAGGATATTCTTGGAAATCAATCCTGTGAGAAAGAACCCTTCGTCTTGGCAAAGAGATTCAGAAAAACTTGTTTAATATAGTTCTAGGCGATGTAAGCAGATTTAGCCTTACCGAAAGAAATTTGGTATATATTTTGATATATTTTCGTGATGGTGACGGAGGCCTTAAGGTCAACGAAAATCTTAAACATGAATAAAATTTTAGTATAAATCAAGAGAAGGGGTATTTAGTATAAACCAAGAGGAAGATCTTATTATTCTCAAAGAAATTGTTAAATCACTGTAGTATTAATAATGTATACTAACAGTAACAAAAAAAGAATATTATGATTTTTACTAGTCAATTTCCATTGAATAATTCTGTTCCATTTTTGTAATGGGCCGAATCTTGTTTTAAAGAAAAGATGTATCGAATATTTTTATGTTCCAAATTACCAAAATACTTTACCAATAAGATGTTCGAAATGATAACGAGTACATTTTGAGTAAAATTAGCTGTAAAACATCCGCGTGACTTTATGAAAATTATTTATTTAAATTTAATTTTTTCAATGTAATCGTGTTCAATTTTAGATCAAGTCACTGCTACACTATATAGACATTTTATTGCAGGTTTTGAAATCAAATCAAGTATTAATGAAATATTTGTGTTGCTAAGAAATTTACAAACAAATTTTAAATAATTATATGTGAATTAAAATTTATAAATTAGAAAAAAAATTAAAAAAAAAACTACTTACCGTACGCAAGAATGATACATCATCCTGCTCGGAGCCTCCTTCTGCTTCAGCCATGATAAATTAAAAATTTTGCTTGATTTTCTCAAGTAAAAAATTTTATTTACTCCAGTTTAACAAAATTTTTTTTTTTCGTAAATTTTTCTTATATTAAAATAAGAAAAATCCGTTATATTTTAGTGACGTTACCAGGTACGTCATACGGATTTTTATTTTTCTCTTTTTTTTTTGTATTTTTATTAAATTTTAAAATAAAATTAGTTTTTTTTTTATTTAAATATTTTGATTAATTATCACTTTTATAATGGTAAAGAAAAATAAAAATTAAAAAGTTTTAAAAATTTTAAAGCTTCGCAATTATTATAAAATAAAAAATTTAATAGACATACATATATATATAAAAATGTGTATATGTATGTATATTTTTTAAATTTAGTTTATATTTTATTTTTTTTTTGAATATTATTTCGTTTTATATTTTATTCATTTTTATTTTTTTATTATAATATTTTGCTTTTATATAGGATGGCTAAAAGCACAAATTTCTATGTGCGTTTTTTATTTTAAAACACACCTCTATATTTTCTGTTTAGTTTGATTTGACCCACTGCCTTTTCTATAAAAATATAAAAATACAAAAATAATTCATAATATTATTTTAAAATCAAGTTGAAAAGTTTGAAATTTTCCAATATTTTGTATATTTTTTTTTAATATGGCAACATTTACAGTTAAATTTTAGTATTTCACTTAATTTTTTTTGAGGTTGCGGAATTTTGTACTGTATTGCCTCAAAGTTTGTTTATAAAATAAGAAGACTTCAATAATATTTAATTCTTGTTAAGATAGTATGAGTGTAAAATAATTTAATATTTATAAATTAAGAAAATTATATCGAGATCTTGACGGCGTCCTACTACCTACCAATATGACGCATTTCATTAGCAAAATGATATATGTAAGTCTACTTCATAAAATCAGAAAAGGTCGTGAAAATTGGAAGAAATAAATTACTGACAATACACTTTTCGATTTTTAATGATATTTTGTATTTTTTTTTTTTTGTTTTAAAAAATCTCTTCGTATTTGTATATTCAATACGGTAAATGTGTATACCGATACAACTATTAGTGGCATTGAGAAAGAATCATTTTATCTTAAGCTTTTAAAGTTTTATACTTTGTTTTTATATCCCTTTTTTCATAATACTGCATTTTGTTGCTTTATTTTTGCATTGGCAATGCACTAGACCGGACATTATATATAAATATCAATAATTTTATCTGTTTATTATATACATATATGTATATGTATATATATGTTATAGACATTGTCCTTCATAAAATATATCCTTCATTTTATTAAAATAACCTTGACCTTGTATTTTATATTTAAGGTCTTTATTTTTTTCGTTTTTTGTTTTCCGCTTGAATTGTCAAACTGAGGTTTTGAATTCCATATAAACAACAAAAAGAAGAAAAAAATTAAGTATGATTCATTTGAAAACCCAAACAATAACCTTTCATCACAAATTTTAGTTAAATAAAATGATGAAAGCAAGACAAACAAACAAAAAAAATTACTCAAATAGAAAAAGATCAATCTTAAATAAAAACTGTACCCACCGAAATAATACCAAAATATCAATTTTAAAAAAAAAACCTTTTTTCCTGAACATTATATTGATTGTATGGTATGTACATATGGAATATTATATCTGCATACAATAATATATTTATCGTGTGCAAGAAGTAATACAGACTCTTATATACATATATCTACATCTATATATATGTAGATAGAAAGATATCCTTTGTAAATTAGCAATATTATTATTATAAAGCCTGTATACAATAGCAACAGTAATAACAATTGTTTTTCGAATATTTTAAAAGTGATAGCAACAGTGCATGCAAATATTCAAGCTTTTCCAATATTATTATTTTTTACTAATTATTATTTCATTTTTATTGATTGTTAAGTAAAATTAAAAAAAAATAGAATAAATTTCTTATAGTTTTAATTAAAAAATAATTTTATATCTATACAAACAGTAATTTTTTCACCAATATTTTGTAATTATTTTCACATTTACTGCGGTTTTAAATTTTTTTAATTTGTTCTGGTACATATGTACATACAATTATAATTTTTATATAGGAAAGTATGTACATATACATATATATTTTTTATTCACACAATTTTTTTCACATTTATTTTTCTTTTTAGTTCTAATATTTAAAATTTCATTTTTATTCACCATTTTGTTTTAATTTATTTTAAAATTTCATATACAATATATTTCACATTTAAAATTTTATTTATTTGATCACCATTTTTTAATTGTTTTTTAATTTTTATTAAAATAAAATGTGCTGTCAAAGTATTTCTCACAAAATTTTAAAATAATAAAAATATTTTGCTATCTAGATTAAGCTTGCTTAAATTTTTCTTTATGATTTTTGTATATTTTTTTTTGTTGTTTTTCGTTTTTTGTTTTCTTACTGTTTTTTCTTCATAAATAATTAAAACTTAAGGACCTTGCTAAGAAGCTTTCATGCACCCTATTTTTAATATAAAAGAAATATGAAAAAAAGCTTTCACATTTAATTTTATTATTTTTTTTTTATTTCAATAAATATTTTAGATTTTAAATAATTTCACTATTTTTTCCTTTAATTTTATTTACTTACTTTTAATTTAAACCGAAAATTTTCAATTACAATTAAATTAATATTTTATGTACTCAATTTAATATATTAATAATAAAGAATATCCTTTTTATTTTAATAAAATTTCAAAACAATGTAGGACAGTAACTAAATAAAAACAATCAGTAAACCTCTCTCTATCCATATTTACTGTAAATATTAAAATAATTTGAAGCTTCTATTTCAATATTCTCATATATATAATAATATTGTTTAAGATTCTGAATGAAAAGAAGCTTTTTCTTTGACTATATATATATATGTATGTATGAAAAAAAGCTTAAATTAAAAGTTTTAAATGGAGAAAATTAAAAACAAAAAAAAAATATAACAAGAAAATAAAATTGAAATGTTAACAACCGTATGGTATGGTACCTACATATATCTTAAATACAGCATTCTTTGGGCCTATGCCAAGGCAAAAATTCTCTTTCTATGCGAAGAGAAAAGTACCCGTATATGCAAATGCGTGTATGAAAGTGTGTTTTGTTTTTTTTTGGTTTTTTTTATATATATATTTTATCCTTATCTCTTTTTGGATTTTATTTTTTAAATGATTGCCAGTGATTTAATTTTTTAAATAAAAAAAAAATATATTTATATTGCAGGTCATGCGCACTCATAAATACCGGGTCACTAGTGTTATATACTATGCTATTATAATATTATTATAAATTTATTTTCATAAATTTTATAAAATAATGTCAAAATTTAAACAAAATAAGAATAATATAAATGTTCATATAAATATTTAATATTTTATTAATATAAACGTGTATGTATGTAAATACAAATGTACATGATAGTGTGATTCCATTCAGGATAGTTTGTACAAGTAAAATTGTTCACGTGCTGATCACTAAATTCTCAGAATACACTCAGAAAAAATATTATAATATTTTTTAGAAAATTTTAAAATTTTATGTGCACCATTCATTTATTTACTTTATTAGATTTATGAATATTTTCGACAAGAAACTGGTTGTAGGTGTTCTTGTTTTTTTCTTGAACACCAGAAAAACAGAAATATTATAATTTATTTGATATTTTTTTCCCTGGCATTAAAAATATTAAAACATTTTTTGGTATACATTATGTAGGTATGTATGTGTATTAGAAGAAAAAAGAATAGTAAGAATAAAAATCTATTTTTAAATTTTTTCCTAATTAGAAAACATTAAATTTTAAAAATTTCAAAATAAAAATTTTTCTGAAAGAGATTGTAAATGTCAAAATAATTCATAAAATAATTTTCAAGTATTTATGTACGTATATAATTTTTATTATACGGCTGTAATACGGCATGAAAATAAATAATTTTGCTGAATAATGGTAAAATTTTTTATAAATGGATGCCCATAATTTTAATTTATAATATTCATTGATTAAAAAATATGACATGCTCAAAAATATTGGCATTTCAAATTGTATATTGTTGCCATATAAAAGGAAATTAGAATATTTCGCAATTACATATATCTTCTCAGAGCTTCAACACAGTATACATACATAAACACATATAATTATATAATATATTATATAAACAAATTTATTTTTTTCGAACAGCTATTATATTTGAAAGAAAAGAAAATAATTTCTTCCATAAAATATTTTTGTTGATATTTCTTCATTTCTTATACAATGAAACTAAAAGATCAGGTGATATTATGAAATAACAATTTAAAAACTAAAAAAAAAAATGTTTTAAATTTTTTTTAAAAATTAACATAAAAGTCAGAGAAATTTAAATGACTCACGAATTGTTTATTTATTTAGATTGTTTAAAATTTTTAATAAAAAAAAACTTTAAACAATCGAATGAATTGAATTAAACACTTAGTTTTGAAGATTTTCTCATCATATTTCTAATAAAAATTTACATTTTAACGCGATCAGTTCAATTTTCAATTTTGATCTGCATAATTTTCAATTTTGAAATTTTAGAGAATCAGAAAAATGACCGGAAAAAGAGAAACAATAATAAGAGTTGCATGTCAATATAGATTTTTAAAGAGAATGTTATAAAAAGAGATCCGTTTATTTTTCATAAATTTTTCTGAATTTTAAGTTTATTTTTGTAAAAACATTATATTATACATTTTTTTTGGGAAACTTGTAAATTTTCTGTAAACAAGTAGTCTCAAAACATGTGTATGTACTTATTATGCCCACTGAATTTTCTTAAGAGTTTAAGATCGTTGTTCTTATTTTAAGATGCTCAAGTTGTTTGTTTTTATAAATTTGTTTTTATAATCCTCAAGACCTGAAACTTAAATGTTTGCCATTGCATTGTCGATATATAATTATTTTTATTACACTATTAAATAATTTCAAAATTAATTTATTTTCAATTATTCAAAAAAACGTACTTAAATTCGGCAAATTAAATGTTACTATATAAGGCAATTTTAGGAATATATGTATAGATTTTTTTCAAATACAGTGTGCATTATAATAATACCATAATGTTAATTTCTAAACCTTTAACTTGAAGTGTGTTATTTAAAATATTAAAATATTATTTATAAAAAAAACTAAAACCTAAAATTTATAATTTTTATATATTTAAAATTATTTTATATATATGTACATTGTTATATATATAAAAAATTCATATTAAAATCAATTTATTTTTAATTAAACTGATCATCTCATAAATATTATTTTAAAGTGCATACTCATACATAATAATATAATAATATTAAAAGTTAAACTTCAAAAACCCCAAAAATAATTTTTTTGTAATTTAAAATAATTTTAAAGTATTTTAATAATATTCTTGTATACTATGCAATTTTGAATATACATACAATATATATTTATGTATATGTATAAGTATATACTAGTACATGTTTATTATTCTGGCGTTACCAATAATTTACTTTTTATCCGGATTTAAAAAAAAAAAATTTTTTTTAATTGCCTTTACAATCATTATACACCATATACATACATATACATAAATAATAATATAAAAAGGATATTTAATTTGCCAATAATCAAATACAAAATATTACGTGACATTTTATATAAGTTAATTTTTGTAATTCGACATGTTATTCCACAAAAAAAAGAGAAAAAAAATCATTTTATACATGAAATAATAATAAAAAGGAAACACTAAATATTTTCATATACATACCTATACATATATGTATATTATTATAATGCTAAAGTAGTTTTAATTCAATTATTTACGGTAGGTGGCCACATGTACGTTTTAATTTTATTTAAGTTTCCTTTTTTTAGTTTTTAATTATTTTGTTCTTATTTATTATAAATTGAATAATAACAACATTGTGTGCTTAAATATAAAATATATATGTATGAATATATGTATGTATATATATTATGTATGCATTACTATTTAATTAATTTACAAAAGAAACAAATACTAATATTTTATTATTGTTCTAAATAAATAAATTGTTTTCATTACGTGGTTTAAATATACGGCCACATTATTTTGGTCTTTGAAAATTTCATAAACGTACATAATAATATTATATATATGTCTTTTATATTAATATACCTTAAAAATGTAATTGTAAATAAAATATAAATTTGACATCAATCTTTTAATCAAAAAAAAAAAAAATTATAGACAATTTTTATATAATTATACAATCATAATATTGTTATATTTTCCAAAATTACACTCAATATATACGTAATTTAATTTTGAAATATATAAGGTGTATCTCATCTAAATATAATTAAAGTAATTTTAATTTATTTTCTAATTAAAAAAAATATGAAGGTACGTAGTAAAAATTAAAATATGAAATAACTGACATTGTTATACAATTTTTCAAATTCGAATTATAGCTTTTGTATTATAAGAATTAATGTATAACACTTTTAAAAAGTATTTTACAATATTGTACAAGTATTTAGGCTTTATCTAATATAAGGGAGTAGTTGAGACTTAAAGGGATTTTTCATGTGCATTTGTTCTGGTAGATTTCTCATGAACATAACGGTAGATGGAAAATAAATTTTCAAATGTTTAACATTTTAATAGGTTAGATTTTATTGCAGGACTTCCATTTATATCGTATAGCGGATTGCATAAATAAATAAAAAAAAACTTAGAGTATTAACGTGTTACACAAAATCACCCTATATTTTAATATTATACGAGTATATCGTATAATATTATATGTACTTCTATAGTTATATAAAAATATACTTTTTAATAATTAATTTATAATTAGATAAAATATTGGATATAATAAAATAATAAAAAAAAAAATTGTGTAATTGAATCTCCTATTTGACTAAATGGTAAATGGCTCTAAAGCTAATAAAAAATATGGATTTTATGAAAACCATAAATATAAAACACTTAAATATGATGTTGAACTATATTAAAGTGCTTTTATACGCACATATGTAGGTACTTATATATATAAGTAGATTTGACTTATTAAATTTATATTTACTAATAATAAAAAATCAATTTAATTAGCAAAAATTTATATTTCGGTCTATAATATG